TTTTAGAGACTGCTTGAGTGTGGGTTCATATCCCTACCCCTCCCTCCCACCTGCACTGTGGCTCAAATGCATCTAAAAAGTTCACTCCACTACAAGGCAAAGCCTGAGGCAGCTCACAAGTGTATTCTTCCAGACCCATGATCAGAAATAGTACCAGTGCAAAATCAAGCAAGGTTACAGGCCTTATAAATGGTTACCTTTGCCAGCTTGAAAGTACATGAGAAAGTGCCTTGGAAAGAAAGCAAGCACAACAGGTATAAAAGGATGATGTACCAATCAGTAGCAACAAGTGTTTTCTTATCGTAGTGACAGACACAGCCTTGCTTACACTTGTTCAGCTGGGCAAGCACTGGGTTTGCCACAGAGGCAATTACCCCTTCTAGGAAATTCCACAGTACCAAGCAATGAGCCAAAGATTTGGTGCAATCACATGTTTGTAATATTACTGGGTATGAACATATATCTACCCGTACTGCATGCAATATTCTAGTCCAACACATATTGCAATTCAAGCATTCATTACATGTTTGATTACCTGAACTGAATGTGTGATCGCACAGACAACTGAGTGAAGCCAGGAGAAACCCTATCTTCTGTCACAATTCTATACTTTGTTAAGCACATCTGGACTAGTTTCCAAACAAAATGTACAGATGCTCTATCACAGGCTATTGATAGTTAAATGTATCATAGGTTTGTTAAGTGAAGTGGTATTTTTCAGAGCTAGAGCATTCACAAAATTCAAATCACCTTGTTGCTACAGGAAAAACTTCAAACCCTCACTTCTCTATTCTCAAAATGCCCATCCCCATAGCACAATGGAATTACTGTTTACAGAAGTAACACCAATTATTCAGGGTAGCATCTTAACAACTAATTCTCATTATCTTGCCTGCTAGAGCCAAGAAATATTTAAACACTAGCCAACCAATTGCTAGACATGAGGAAGAAAGCCCTCCCTAGCAAATGAAGCAACCTGAATAACTGCTTTCTGCAGAATTACAAAAAAAAAGAAATCTAAGTTTCTAACCTTTATGGTGGCTAAGACACTTCCAAGTTTGAATCACATGTAGAGGCAACCCGAATTAGTTTGCTGCTGCTCAGAGCCTACCCCCAGAGCAATCCCTGGGTAAAACTGAAAACTAGTCAGAATCAGTGCTGTAATTCAGAACTCTAAGCAAACAAGCCTTGTACAAGTTTTACTCTGCTTCTGTTTAGGAATGTCACAAGCCAAAAATCAATTCCCTGAAACTGTTGCATTCCTCAACCTTGCCATAGGTTCCTCTAATATTTCATATAAACTTCTGGCAGAGAAGTACCATGATCTAAAAAAGTCAAAAGTACCCAGCCTTGAAGATCAATGTACATACATCACAATAAGCACCTAGACTAACTAATCTTACCCTCATTTTCAACCTCCATAGGTGTCAAAATGGCTAGTCCAACAACACAGCACTACTAAAGGTTCATCTTACCTTACACAGTGTAGTTATCATTAGGGAAGAGAAGAAAAACATTAAAAGAACAGTGAAAGGTGAATTACTACACAGAGCCACTTACTGCCTAGACACAAGCCAGAAATTAAACCCTTAAATCATCCAGGACAAAAAAGGCAGGTGTCTTAAGAAGCTGCTGCCTTTGTGAAACCAATCCACTTGTCAGTTCCAATGCCAAGGACCCTTGCACTATGACCTAAGCTATGCAGCAAAACCTTCCAATTCATGTGGTGGGGCATAACTCAACCATGTGACATGGGTATTATACAACTATGCTAACTGACTAAAAGAATCACACCATGACCTTCCATGTTTTATTTCTAATGGCTGAAAAAATATGCGGTGACAATATATAAGCTGCACATAAACAAGTATACTGAATCAGAGGAAAGCTGTCCATTTTTTTGCACAACAGTGAAGCTGTTCTTCACTCTCTTCCACGTAAAAGAAGATTTGGGACTGAACAGATTCTGAGGTTTGGAATGGTAATTTTGAAAACAAATCTTGGATACTTCAGCTAACACAAGTGGGTACACTGAACTTTAATTTCTATCTTTCACTGAGACCTGTGTGCCTAGGCCACCTTGAAAATTCCAGCTCTAGCTGCTTTAGAAACACCTACATTCAAGTGCTCTCAAGATATTCTTCTTACTGATCCACTGGCTGTTCTGCCACTGGATGGCTCAATTACTCCTAAAAACCACTTGAGAAGCTTCCTATACACCTAAGACAATAAAACTAAGAGCTTCTCTACATTAAAAGCCATACCAGTTAATAGCTTATTGTAGGCCACTTCAGTTATACCTGCTACAGAAAGTTACCATAAGAATTTATTTTAGTTTAAACAAGGCCCATCTCAGTTTAAGGCTAAACTTAAATAAGGGAATCTACAAAAAAGATTTTAAAAAACACCCCCTAAAATTAAACTGGTCAACTTTCTTGTTCAGATAAGGCCAAATCTGAAACTCCTCCTCACCCAAGAGGAGCCCATCACTTTATCTTTGCTGCTGCCCTCAATCTGAAAAACTTCTCTGAGAACAGAAACACAGAACATCCACTACAGTTTTCCAGCAACAGACTAAAGAAATGATTCTGAACAAATATAAACAGAGCAAAAATAAGATTTGTCAAGGCCAAAAGAAGAAATTTGCAACAGATATGACATGAAATAACAAGGACTTGGACAAGAGTTTTAGTTATGCGACTGAAAGGAAATGCTAGATTTTAGAAATGCTGTGCAGGAATATACTGGAAAATTCAGACATACTCTGGATGTGACTGTCTAGAGAGGATCAAGTGAACACTATCATGTGGCAAGGCACATCACAGAAAATTAATCATTTAAGGAAGGGTGTTTTGTTTGGGTGGGGAGGGGGGGGGGTGTCATTTTTTAAGCCAGAAGCTGACAGGACAGCAGGCATGTACTAAATTTTACCTATGGCTTCTGTGACATTAGTACCTGAACACCAAACAAGTATTAGTTAACCTACCTTCACCTTCCCTTAAAGTTACTAACACATTTTAGATACAGTAAACTAAATGAAGAACTATGACGCATCCAAAGTCAGCAGTAGAAACAGGAAGGAATTTAACCCAGTTCTCCTTCATCCAAGGCCTGGAGCAGGGACATACCTTGAAGTCTCTCTAAATGCTATCATCTCTCTTCTGTCACTGATACAGGTGGCTGTCCCAAGCAAGAAAGGCACCTGCTTGGAATGCTAATTAATACCAGGAAGCCATTAAAATACTGAACACAAATTATAGCTGAAGAAAGGAAGGACTAAAAAGTGACAAAAAAGTTAAGCAAGATCTACATTTCTGTTCAAGGCTGTCAGATTTACAATCCAAGAAGGGTTTGCATTGGTTTGGGGCAAACTAAATAAGAAAACAAGACATCAAGCCATAAGCAAATTTACTAACAGACAAGGGTTTAAAGAAACTTTTCCTATCACAGTTTGTCCCCTCACTATCCACTAAGAAGTTGAACTGTCCTCTAAACCACCTCTTAATGGCCAGTGCATACAACAAATACTAGAATGGATGGCCTAGTAGTCTGATTAAGTATAGCAACTCTTAAATGCAGACCCCAAAGCATATTATTGCACTTTGACTAATTGCGTACAAAGGAAAATTACATTTTGAATTCATTACTCAGAATATTTCTTGAGCCTGTTCTCACAACTCACACCAAAATATTTGTAAAACTATTTTTAGCCACTTACAAAGCATTCAAACATACAAATAAAAATCAGCTGCCTAGTAGTTTCTCACCTTAGAAATGTCTTCCAATCTGCAAAGATAGTTCACAAAATTCTTATCTTCCAGCACACTACTTCTATACTCTATTATGCCACTCTTTATTTTTGAAGCCATCTTTGTTTTACACCTCCTACCCAAAGACAGACACAGGTTCCTTACTTAACCCTTTCAACAATGTTTACCTTGAAAGACAGACCTTGGTGAAAAGACTCAGTCAAACATGAGAAGTGTCAATAAAACATGTAAGATTCTCAGTTCGCGCTGAGTGCAAGGCTTCTAGCATTAACTGATACAGAGCCAACAGGTTCAAAAGGCGGTCTTTTTCATAAAGATCACAAGGCTTTGAAAAAAAAAAATTTTGCCAGAGAGACAAATTTAAAAAACAAACAAACCATAAGCAATAACTTTAGATATTAAATTCAACAACTTTGAAATCAATCAATCAATGTTTCTACAGCCTGCCACAAGACATTTTACTAGAAGAACCAATCTTCACTTAGAGGTACACAAGGGTCAGTTTTACAGCACCAGAAAAGTCTCATTAACTTTGAAGCATGTTTTAAGGGCATTAATTCAGCAAATCGAAAAGTAGACAACCTGTCACTACTCAAACTCACTGAATTCAGGCCACTTGTGATCTCCATAAAAAAGCATACAAAACTGAGCTAGCAGACTAACCAAACACATGCATGTGAAGAAGATCCCACCACTTCAAGCTTCTACTAGAGTGCAGTTTAATACACTGAGAGGCCTCCCTTGCAAATGGCAGCAGGACTACTCACAGGGTGCAAAGCAAAGTGTAACTGGGCAAAAAAGCACGCTGGGTAAAGACCGCACTTTCAAGTGATCTTGCGAAGGATGCAGTACAGGATATTTAAGAGACCCTTTTCCACAAGAGAGAAGGACTGTCCCCAGAGCTGTGCTTCTTGAGAGGGGTTAGAAACTTGAGTTTTCTCCAGCATCATCTCCAAGCACCTGCCCTAGGCCCTTATCCACCAGACTTCACAAGAAGGTCCCCACCTCTACAAACACTCTGGACACCTGGAAGCCCCCTCACAGCTCAGGGATCTGCCCCCACATGCAGAAACTGCAGCCCTCTCTCCCCCCTGCTCTTAAGGCAGCAGGGCCCATTTTGCTGGGAGCGCTGGAGCCTCCCCTCAACCCCCTCCAGCTCCCAGGACCACAAGAGCCTCTCCCCACTCCCTGCCAGGAGCAACCCCAGCCCCCAGGCAGGCAGAGACTCACCTGATGGCAGGGCTGTAGGGGCTGCGGGAACGACGCCAGCTGCTGTAGGGGCTGGGCGATATATCCCCTCGCTCGTAAGAGCTGTGGCGGCTGTAGCTGGGTGAGCGGCGGCGGCTGTAGGGGCTGGGGGGCGAGCGGCCACCCAGGGGGCTGAGCGACTTGCGGCCACGCGTGCCCAGCGAGGTGCGGTGCGGGGGGCTGTCGTCACGGCCGGGGCTGGGCGAGGAGCGCTGGCGCCGGTAGGCCTTGGGCTCAGCCTTATCGTCCCGGTAGGCCTTGGGCGGGTCCCGGTAGGCCGACGGCGGCTCCTTGGCGGCTTTGGGCCGGCTGCGGTGTGCCTTGGCCTCCCGCTCCTTCCTGCCGGGTGACGGGGAGCGGCCCTTGCGGCGCCCCTCGGGGCCGCTGGTGTGGTTGTGACGGCCGCGAGGCTTGGCAGCAGCGGCTGAGGAAGAGGAGGAGGCCGAGGCAGGCTCGGCCACTGCCGTCTTCTCCTTGTCCCCGCGCTCACGGCGATGCTCGCGGTGCCGCTCGCGGGACCGGCCGCTGCTACCACGGTGCTCCCGCCGCGCCCGGCTGCCGCGCTCCGCCTCCCC